GGTTCTTCGGTTCTTGGTCTAGACCCGAGACCCGACCCAAACCCATCGGTTCTTGATTCGGGTACCCGTTCGGGTATTTAATTTATAAAGAACCGCTCGGTTCGGTTCGGTTCGGTTCGGTTCGGGTTCAGTTCGGTCCGATTCGGTTCGGGACTTTTAGACACCCCTACATTTAAATGAGAAAGTTCAATATTTGCGAGTAATTGAGGTTGACCATTTGTTGGAAATTTGGTTAACAACTTGTTAACTTCATTTAAAAAGTTAACACGTTTACGAGAAAAAGAATATGATGTTTCTATACTAAAATTTGGGCTTGGCCCTCCATTCAGCCGGCTCGATCTTGGCTAGGGGGATTGCAATGGGGTGGGGTGGGGTGGAGTGGAGTGGAGTGGAGTGGGTTCTAGATTCATGTGTGTCAAAAATAAAAAGAAGGAAAAAAAATGAGAAGACGAAGAAGAGAAAGAAAGAAGAAAGAGATGAAAAAGAACATGTATGAAGAAGTTGCACTTGAAACTTGTTGTATTAAATTCTAAAATAAATAAGGCTTTATTAAGCGTGGGATCAAGTCTCAAGTTTTATATGCCTAAGCATGTTTAGGCGAAGTCTAGAACGTGATAATTCATTTTCCTATTTTTAATATTATTCTAAACTATAAACAAATAAAATAAGCATATTTTCAAAATTTATAGGAATTTTATACATATTTTTCAAATTTCTAGTAAAAACATAATTTCAGAACTATGTTTGATCCATATTATTTTGGAAGAATGTATTCCGAAATAGTAAATTGATGAAGAATTTGTGGTTGAAAAAGAAGGAAACGTTATTGAAGTGATGGAAAATATTATTTTATTGAAGAATGTGTGGTTGAAAATGAGTAGAAAATTGAGAATGGAAATTTTAATGTATACCAAATAGGAACTATGTTTGTGCATTTGATTTAGACTAGAATGAAATTTTTTGTTGCACTTATTTCTTTTTAAAATTTTAGCAATAGTTGAGCATTTTTATTAGGTTGGACTTCAAAAAATAAAATAAATAAATAAAATAAAACTTTAATTAATTAATTGTCAAACAAAAGTAGACATGCCTTTTCATAGGCATGCCTCAGGCAGGGTGATCAAAGTAGAGTTGACCACCGTTTTTACCGTCTAGATGGATGTTTTAGAATACAACCTCTATGACAAAAGTTAATGTACAGTCAAATATTTATATTCGTGAGAGTTGAAAATTAATTTTTACTTGATATATTAAAATATGAGAGGGTAAATCAAGAAGGAAATTCAAAGATTCTAAATTTTAATCTTCCTACTCTATAATGTGAGAAAAGATCATACTGATTT